TATTGAGTGTATGGTGCCCCATTAAGTCGTAATATATTATATAGAGTGATTGGGCACTAATACGTTAATTTAATCAACTTAATCTAGTCCGAATCAATTTTTCAATTAAACTTCACCGTAGGCTCTAAAAATTACGCTAATCACAATGGCGTAATCAATTTCAGGTTCTGTGGCCGATAAGGCCCTCAATTTAATTTCCAAAGCAGATTATTCAAACAGATATTCCTACGGTGAACAGATAAAACTTCAAAATCACATATATCCATATAATGGCACATAAAATCATGCTAAACACATAATCATACTCAAATTAAGGACCAATTAACGTACTACGGGACAGGGGTATCACAGTCTTCCCCCCTTTAGGAAGTTTGGTCCTCCAAACTTAATTTACCTTCGTCGGAAAACATATGTGGATAGCGTAGACGCATTTCCTCCTCTTTTTCCCATGTAGCATCTGTCCCATAGTGTTCCTTCCATTCCACTTTCACCATTAGAATGGATTTGTTTCTCAATTCCTTTACTTGTCGGTCAACAATTCTTTCCGGCCATTCAGCATATTTCATATTTTCATCAATAGCAACCCGGTGATAATCAATCGCATGCAACGGGTCTCGGAGGTAACCCCTCAACATTGACACATGAAACACATTATGGATTTGCTCGAATCTCGGTGGTAAGGCAACTCTATAAGCAACTGGACCAAGCCTTTCCAAAATCTGAAACGGCTCAATGTAGCGGGGTGACAACTTGCCCTTTTTCCCAAATCTGACTTGGCCCTTCATCGGAGAAACACGGATGAACACATGGTCACCAACCTCATACTCAAGAGGTCTTCTTCGAACGTCTGCATAATTCTTTTGTCGGTCCTGAGCTGTTTTGAGCCTTTGGCGAATAGTCTTGATTTTCTCAGATGTATCTTGCACAATTTCTGGCCCAAGCAAAGCTCTATCCCCGACCTCCGTCCAACAGATAGGTGATCTACACCTCTACCATACAAATCCTCGTATGGTGCCATACCGATGCTGGAGTGGAAACTGTTATTATAAGCAAATTCTGCAAGTGGCAAATAATCTTCCCAACTCCCCTGAAAATCCAAAGCACACATGCGAAGCATATCTTCTAATGTCTGTATCGTTCGTTCTGACTGCCCATCTGCCTGTGGGTGGAATGCAGTACTAAACCTTAGTTTTGTTGCCATAGCTTCCTGCAAACTCTTCCACAATCTAGACACAAATTTCGGATCTCTATCCGATACAATAGATACTGGAACTCCGTGTAAACAGACAATCTCATCAACATAAATGGTAGCCAATCTATAAGCAATAAATGTAGTTTTGACGGGCAGAAAATGTGCAGACTTAGTCAGTCTATCAACTACAACCCAAACAAAATCCATACCTCGAGAAGTCTGAGGTAGGCCAATAACGAAATCCATAGTCACATGTTCCCACTTCCATTCAGGAATAGGGAGAGGTTGAAGTAGGCCGCCTGGTTTCTGATGTTCAGCCTTAACTTGCTAACACTGTAGGCACTTGGACACATATTCTGCAATTTCTTTCTTCATTTTGGGCCACCAATAGGTTTGTTTCAAGTCCCGGTACATTTTATTGTTACCCGGATGCATAGCAAATATGGACTTGTGGGCTTCATCTAAAACCCTCTTCTTTAGTTCTGGGATATCTGGGACACATATCTGGTTTCGGAATTTCAACATTTCATTCTCAATACTGAATTCTTCTTTCGGGCTTGCCTTGAATTCGTCAATCACTTTCTTGAGGTACTCATCCTCTTTCTGTTTCCGTTTGATTTCATCAATGATCGCCGGCTCGGCTGTAATAGCGGTTATCAATCCGTCTTGTTCACACATTACCACTTCAATTTCAGACTTCTCAAAATAGTGCAAGATCTCTCTCTGTTCAGTAAGTAAACAGGCCATACTCCCCATTGATTTTCTGCTTAAGGCATCAGCAACTGTATTAGCTTTCCCGGGGTGGTACTGAATTTCTAGGTCGTAATCTTTTATTAGTTCCAGCCACCTTGTCTGACGCATATTCAACTCTTTCTGCGTGAAAAAGTATTTCAGGCTCTTATGATCCGTGTAGACTTCACACTTTGCCCCATACAAATAATGCTGCCAGATTTTCAAAGCAAAAATGACTGCGGCCAATTCTAGGTCATGTGTTAGATAATTCTTCTCATGTGGCCTCAACTGTCGGGAGGCGTAAGCGATAACCTTTCCATTCTATATTAACACACAACCCAAACCCTTGTAAGATGCATCACTAAAGATTACGAAATTTTCTGTACCTGAAGGTAATGTCAAAATTGGTGCAGTAGTCAATCTTGTCTTCAATTCATGAAAGGCCGATTCCCTATCTTCGTTCCACTCAAAAGGTTGCCCCTTGTGTGTCAGTTGGGTAAAAGGCACCGCTAATTTCGAAAAGTCCTTCACAAACCTCCTGTAGTACCCAGCCAAGCCCATGAAGCTGCGAACTTCTGTCACATTGGTTGGTGTAGGCCAATTCACAATTGCCTCTATCTTCTGCTGGTCCACTGAAATTCCTTCATTGTTGATCACGTGCCCTAAGAAAACAACCTCATCTAACCAAAACTCACATTTCTTTAATTTAGCAAATAGTTTTCTTTCCCGAAGTATTTGTAAAACAGTCCTCAAATGATGTTCATGTTCAAGTCTATCTATAGAGTATATCAAAATATCATCGATGAAGACTACAACAAACTCATCAAGGTAGGTTTTAAAAATTCTATTCATTAAGTTCATAAATGCTGTCGGAACATTAGTCACTCCAAACGGCATAACAAGAAACTGAAAATGACCATACCTCATCCTGAATGCGATTTTCTTAACATCCTCTGCCTTAACTTTCAGCTGATGATACCCGGATCTTAAATCAATCTTAGAAAACACCTGTGATCCCTGCAACTGGTCAAATAAATCGTCAATAAGGGGTAAGGGATATTTGTTCTTCATCGTTACCTTGTTCAATTCCCGGTAATCAATGCACAGGCGCAAAGTACCATCCTTCTTCTTTACAAATAACACTGGTGCACCCCAAGGTGAAGTGCTAGGCCGGATAAACCCTTTATCAAGAAGGTCTTGCAACTGTTCCTTTAATTCTTTCATTTTGGCAGTAGTCATTCTGTAGGGAGTTTTAGAAATAGGCTGGGTGCCTGGTGCAGTTTCAATGGTAAACTCGATCTCCCTGTCTACCAATTCCCCTGGTAATTCATTCGGAAACACATCCGAAAATTCTCTAACAATAGGAATGTTATTCAATTCAACGTTCTCAGATTGTTCAGACAACACATAGCACAAATAACCCTGGCACCCTTTCCTAATCAGTTTACATGCTTTCATTGCAGATATCAAATAAGGTGGAGGCACTACCCCATTGCCCACAAACACAATCTCTTTCTGTTCTGGTAGGTTAAATACAACCCTTTTTGTCGCACAGTCTATGGTGGCGCAATACTTGGTCAACCAATCCATGCCCAAAATTACATGAAATGTCTAAAGTTCAAGGGCAACAAATCTACATATAGGGTAGCATCCTCGATATGCATGTCACAAAACCGATATATATAATCACATAACACAGATTCCCCCAATGGAGCAGACACACATAACAAATATGGCAATAACTCTAGGGGTTTATTCAGTCTAGATGCAAATGTATATGTCACAAATAAGTGCGTTGATCCAGAATCAATTAATACAAAGGCATCCTGATTACATATTGAAATAGTACCTGAGACAACGGCATTGGCATTCCGTGTATCGCCCGGAACAAGTGCAAAGACTCTCCCCTGTCTCACTGTGTCCCCAGTAGTAGCAG